TTTGTTTTACCAACTAGATATATTATAAACCTGTTAGAGATATGGATATTCCATTTCATTTTATCTTTGTTACCATATAGCTATGGACAAAGAGGACTCGATTTAATTTTTGTAATTGGATTAGACTATCATAAAAAATAATTAGTTGTGGAGCCCTGTGTCTTTTTTTTGGTAGCCGTTCTTGATGTTGTCATACAACGTAGACACTGAATGTCAAACGACGAGTGCTTGAGTCCGTGTTTACTTCTGATTGACCCAGTAAGATGAGCGTCTTCACAGCACAGATGGTTGGCTGAAGATCCTCCCTCGGTGGCCTGCTCACAATCAAAGGAGCGAGTGTGCATTTGGCAGGTCATTTTGGATAAGTGTCAGTTTGGGAAATGTAATTGAAGCTTCAAGGGCCCTCTGTTGCTAGCAGCTTTCAGATTTATCATGGGACGAGGAACCAAAGCTCAAACATTATGTCAACCTCCAAGTCTGCTCTCGGTTCATTTACCATTTAAAGTATAGATTGGGTAATTGATTGTTATGTGGATTCATTGATTTTGTTGTAATTAGTGGTGTTTGAAAAAGCAAGCATCCCTATTATTATTGATCATATAGGGATAGCAGTTGAGAATAAATGGTTTTATGGTGAATTGTTAGTTTTCAAAGGGATTGGATGCATAATATTTGTCTAGTGGACATTAAATTGGAGGGTAAAACACTTTTTCAAATTTAGTTTTTGTAAAAAAAAATAAATCAAGTTGAATTATTATTGCTTATGTAAGGCATATACTAATGTTACATAAAGTGGGAAATGTACACTTTCTTTAACACAGTTTCTGCCAAGACACACATGTAAATAAATGCTAATGTTGCTTGTAACAACTCAAGTGTGCGTAGGCTTTGTCAATAGCCATCTTTATGTGTGGACTGACCATAAAATGCATTTGTGGTGGCTGTGCTGTTAGTTTTGAGTTTTGACTAAACAAGGCAACAGAAGAATTCATATCTTTTGCATAATGCATAGCACTTGTGCGGTGAAGTGGAACTAGCCTTTTCGTCCATTAAGATGCCAAACATGGAGGCTAATGACAAATTAACCGGCATCACATGCACATGAATCCTTCTTCGCCTATGAATTATTCAGATGTTTTAATGCCCTGTAAATGTTTTCTTTACAACAAGCAGAAAGAGCTGAGCTTAAGCAAATGAATTTAAATGGCCGACTTGTAATTCCTCTAAAAGTTCATCCACCTTTATTTGCCTTTCCCCTTCACCAGCCCTGCAAACCTCCAGGCACAAGTCTCTGAAACGGATGGCCGCCGTCCTTAGCTAATGCTGTTAGGGAGCAGATTCACAGAAGAAGGGTTTGAAATTACTGGTGCCTCAGCCATTAGGATTTCATTTCTCCCTGTAACTAATGGATTGGGAGTGTCAGACAGCCGCTGCCTTATGCATCCTCGCTGTTGCTTCAGTTTACATTCATCCATTGTGAAAACTGAACACAGGTGGAAAGGAAGCAGTACTGGGAAGCTGAGAATCGCATTTCCCACTGAACAAGATGAATTTGTTTAGAAATGGACAAAGAAATTACATGCCTTACAGTATGTTGCTTGAAAACTGGGAATAACAGCTTGTAACAGAATAAGATCAACCATTCCGTAGTCCATTTATGCTGTACTGGAAGCTTTCATACTTGTCATTTAGCAGATGCATTTAATCTAAGGTGACATGTGGGTACACCAACGCAGGGACTGGCAAAAGAAGCTAGCTCAATTTTTTTAGCCTCTCAGTGACCAAATGCCCTACATAAGATTTAAAATCTAGGTTAGCAGAGCAGAGACGGACATGTTTTTTTTAAGACAGACAAGTGGCACAAGCACTCATTCTCATTTCAAAAGCGCTCTTGTTAATCTGCTTTGGGGAGATCTGCTGATCTACTGTTTGAAATGCTTGTTTGTCTTGCTCATTTGAAGTCATAATCATACATTTTGAAGCATTCTCTGCAACTAATAACATACCTCTTCTCTCTTTCTCTTTCCAGAAAACCGGACACTCTAACCGAACTTTTGGGCGGTTCACTCATGGTGTGTTTGGCTTTATAGATAACAGGTTATTACAAGAGAGATTTTACGATAACTCTTCAGTCTGTCAGTCATCTAATGTCTAGTCTTTGTTTAAAATCGAGGATGCTTTGGTTTTTCCCTTTGCAATTTGAAAGCGAATGCTGCTGATCTTGCAATATACATTTGCTAGCAGTCATGGGAAAAATGCTAAATTGAAGAATCAAAGTCACGAGAGTGAGTTTGAATTGAACTGGCGACCACAGGAAGTTAAACTGGAAATTTAATTGTAATGACACGAAGAGGACTTTACTGAATTTGAAGACTTTCAACCAGTGTTTAGTATTATTTATATCGTTTCAGAATATTTATGAATATTTTAAATCAGCTTTTATTTTTATATTTTCAGTTTTCAAGTGAATTCAGTTGTAGTATTTTTGTGCTTTATTAGTTTAATTAATTAGTTTAATTTCTATTTAGCTTTACTTATATTTAGGTTTTAGTAGTTTGTACTTCAGTAATTAGTACTTTTTGTCATTTTTTTATTTTAGCTTTATAAATAATAACACTGATTTCAACATAGGTAATGCATTCTGGGGAATTAAGGTGTTACACCCTGGCCCACAAAAGTTAATTTATTAAATATTTTTTATGGATGGCATATCAAAAATGTATCATATATAAATGTATAAATACATTTATCAAACTTCAAAGCTTTTAAAACGTTTTTTTTCCCCCCCAGTATCTTTGAACACGACTTTGGAAAGCTTAAAATATGAATTGCATTTTTCCATCGTGTTTGTTACCTCAATTCAAAATAACTTTTGCTGAGTTAAGTTGTTTATGTTTTGTTTTCTGTGTTTAGTTAGCTCCTTGATATCACGCCCAGACTTCTTGTTTCAGTATGAAATATGTTATCAGCCAACACAAGGCAGAAAACTGCTCATCTTTAATTATGTTCAGTAGTGCCATATGCAACTTGCCAACTTCCAAAATGTGTTTCTAACTTTGAAGTATCAAACAAATGTGTGCCAAAACAAAGTCTAAGCCTCTGTAGCATCTGGAGATTGATGATAAATCATTAAGATTTAGGATTTCCATCACTTGATATTCCGAGGCAAGCCCAAAAAGTCATCTAATATCCCTCTGAATATGTTATTGTAATCAATCTCTGAATCAAGGCCCTCCATAACCTCATCAGAGACACCTAGAGGGCTTACATCAGACGAAGTGTTCAGTTCAGACAAATATGATCTAAATTGTGTGCCCTAAATTGTGCATAAAGTACCTCCGCTGCTGCACTGCTCCCATTACCTCTGAGAAGCGTTTATTATAAATGACTGGTAATGGGGATATCATTCATATTCATGTCTGATAATTATAAAATAATTTAGCCTGCCTTATATCAATCTGCACACTCTGAAATACATCTCCTTAATGCAGCATCTATGTAATGCATCCTCAGTTTTAAGTACTGACTGTGCATCTTTTTTATGAATTGTTAGTGTTGTTGAATTGTGTTGCTATTGTGATTTGTAATAAACCATTGTGTTTTTGATTATTATTTCCTCTATTATTTAAGATGTCAGTCAGTGTCAGTGTTGTGTCTGTGTGCTTGGGTTTGAGAAGTCATGCTAGACAGATTGTCTGGAATTGTCTGTCTGCTCGCTCTGATAAAGAGGAGCCTAACAATGAATCAATTCACTTTATGTACAAAGGCACTATAATCTCGGCATCAATAATGCAAAAAGCTTAGCAGTGCTTAGCATTGAAGCAATTTATACGAACTGCTGACACTTTTGCACTGATGTGATGAGATTTTAGATGTGGATCCCTATAAAAGCTCTTTAAATTGAAACTATGCCTTAAATAATTAATTAGACAGGCAGAATTAATGTGGATTACTCTCTTTGTTACATTCTCCATTGACGATTTTCATTCATGGGAATTCACATTAGTTCCTTTTTATTAGATATGAACCTCATGGATTAAAATGCTGTTTCTGATAATCATTAATAGTTAGAAATACACAGCAGATTATTTACCGCAGTAACTAAATTAGCCTTGATCTCAAAAGGATGATAATTTCATTAAAATTAACTGGCTTAATATATTATACTATACACGAATGATTGAAAAATATACATTTAAAAGCTCAATCCTTATCTCGTCTGAGATGAGAAATATTTGATTGATTAACAATATTCAGGAATTTGCTGCTCCTTTTACAAATTTGTACTGGCAGAACGGAGCCCACAGGGCTTTTGATGTGCAAATAAAAAGAGATCCTGCTTAATTAAAAATTAAATTAAATTTCATTTAATGTGCAGAGACTTTATCTTTAACTAACTAAGCCTTTAAGCAAGTCATTTTGCATTTTGATTGGCCTGTTTGACCATCCTTACCAGCTCTTACCATTGTTTGCCCAACGGAAGTTCGGGAATATATTCGTCTAAACAAAGCAAAAGCAGATGGCAGTGATGTTGTGCACCAAGTGCTAGTCAACCAGGACCAGTAAACTGTGCAAATGTGTCCATTCAGCAGTTTGTTGCTGTGTTATCTGTTTTCTGGGATGGGATTCGTCTCTATAGTAACGGTGATGTCTTGTCTGCTTCTCTCCTCTGCCACTATGGAAGCGAAGTTTTCCGCTCCTGTCGGAAGCAAAGTTATGGTAATGTTTGTTTTCATCTTTGGGCTCACTGCAGTGGTTCATCCTCTCTTTCCCCACCAAACACCATTTTTATTTATTAATTTCACCTATCACTATGTGGCAACCCAAATCCTGCTTTGTGATACACTTTTCTTCAAGAAAGGAAAAATTGTTTACTCAAAAAGTCATAGTATGATTTTATTTTCTTTTGATATCTTTGATATTTGATAGTTTGATATCTGCTATCATTACAGGTGTTTTTTTGTTTTTTTTTTACTTAATGTCGTATTTCTTTGTGTTAGACTCTGAGACTACAGAAGACGAAGCCGCTGAGCCACAAATACCCCTGGAAGCTAAAGAAGGAGCCAGAGGTTTTCAGGATGAGGCAGGTAAATGACACTTTTAAAATTAGAACTACTATGTCAACCTTTTTTTAAAAACAGTCCTATGTCTTAAAATGTATTTTATAGTAGAGCTTGTTAATATTTACATTATAACAGAGACACAACCGTTTGAAAGTTTGGAGTCAGTAAGATTTTATTATTTTATATAGTAACTAATACTTCTATTTAAAAAAAATATATACATACAGTATGTTTGAACTTTCTATTCATCAAAAAATCCTGAAAAAATATATCACGCTTACCACAACACAGTATTAAGCAGCACAACTGTTTTCAACATTGATAATAAGAAGAAATGTTTCTTATGCATCATATTAGCATATTAGAATGCTTTCTGAAGGATGTTGTTAGACTGAAGAGTAACTGGACTGGAGTAATTGCTGCTGAAAAATAAACTAAAATAAATTACGTTATTTTTAATTATAATAATTTTTAACTTTATTACGTCTTTTTCTCATTTTTTGATCAAATAAATGCAGCCTTGGTGAGCATCTTCTTTCAAAAACATTATAAATTACCAACCCTAAACCTTTGAATGGTAATTTATTTATAAACCCATCAGCCATTAAAGGAATAGTTTCCCCCAATAAAATGAAAATGCTGTCAAACAGAATCAGAAAAACTTTACTGGCCAAGTGTGCTCACACACACAAGGTTTTTTACTGGTTTACAGGAACTCTGAGCACTTAAGTATATTAAATACAAGATACATTGCAAGAATAAACATCTAGAATGAGTAAACAGAAACATTAACAGGTGTGTGCACTGTGCAGTGCAGTGTGTTTCAACTGTGTAAATATATATCACGTAATGTTCTTTTTTTATTGCATAATGCCCAATATAATATATTAGTAAAAGTAATGGACTGTACAGTAGTGGTTGTTAACAGTTATAGATGGATATGGGAACTTCTTATTCCTGAATGTTCGGGTGCCCAGTGGTCTGTACTGAAGTACAAAAACATCATGTCCTGTGTGTGTGGGTTTTATGGTTTAGTTTTCTTGCCCTTTTCCTCTCTCTGGAGGTGTATAGGTTCTGGAAGGAGGGCTGGTTGCGCACATGTCATTACAAAGCCATAGGCTGTTAGCCAAAGGACAATCTTTTCCATACAATGGCAGTTATAGCAACCATGGCCATACAGCTTCATAAACAACATTAGAAAGAAAAAAAAACAAAGTAAATAGCCCTTACAACTTATTTGCTATATTCCGAGTTTGCTGTAGCCATACGATGTTTTCTGATTTGTTCCCCTTTCATTGATAATCTCCCCCTCCACTGAAGCTCTGAAATCTCATTTGCATTTGCATTCAGATTTAAAAATGGCACGTTGACCAAACAGAACATTGTTTCTCATCTGTGAACATGACGAGCCAGTGAACATGACCTTTTCAGTGAATAATGAGCTACATTTCAGTCTGATCCTCACACAAAGCTATCGTATTGCTTACAAAGACTTGGAATCTAGTGCATGAGTCAGATGGACTATGTTCCTTTGTGGTTTTTATTTGTTTATTTTTGCTTATTTTGGAGTTTAACAGGGCCTAAATTTCG